ATTTGTATTATCAATGTGAAATATGCAGCTGATGTTACTATTTTCACTGGAATGTTCGTGACATGTGATTCATTGACAATGTTGAATAGATACAAAAATACTTTTCTGGTCATTTTTTTAAAAAAATGTAATAATATTCATTGTTTACTTCGAATATAACTTTTGAATTCGAATATCGTAGTTGACTCATGAAAGAAGGATAAACAGGAAAAAAGTTTGGCAGTAGATTATTCGCACCAAGATGTTATTATTAGAAGCTAACAGTAAAGAGTGCAAGTTGTATTATATACAATTAATTAATGAGATAGATATGTAAATATTAAAAAAAAAATAATCGTTAGTTATTGCTTTAATTTGATAGCGCGTAAATTAAGATTGAAGAAATGTGTGAGGTAGCGAAAGACGTTGACTGTAGTAAACTTTAATGTACGTCTATAGAATAAAAAAGAAGAGATTAACAATATAATTTAAAAGAATGTGAATGTTGTGTTGTAAGAATGTTCTGATGATGAATATGCGATATCCGTAAAATTGATTTCTCGTTGTGAAATTTTTATTCAGTCTTTTCATACTTATTAGTTTCACGTAAAAAAATACAGGTAATATTTCAACTTGCTTGAATTTCTTATTTTCGTTCAATATATTTTTATTCTTATTAAACAACTTATTATGAAAAAGAAAATGCATTTTTAATTTACAATAAGTTTTGTTTAAAAATCGAAAAATTTAGACAAGTAAAAAGAGCAGCATATATTGTGTTAAATTTATTGAATGTGTGATTTCATCCGCCCACTGTGTGTGTATTATTAACATTGCACATTCTCGATAATGACTAATTGTCCCTATTACGCACAATTTAAATCGAAGATACAGATATAAAAGTAGTCTTTCAAATTTTTTAATTTTCATTTTGGAAAATAAAAATAAGAATTATTATTAATAGTAAAATAAAATGTAAAACTAAATATTACTTTTTGATTTTTATAAATAATATAATTATATAATTTGTAGATTTACATTAATTTAATAATTTAAAAAAATTGAAATAAATTTACCAAAGCAAAATAGTAGTACTTAATTTATTTAATATTTCATTCTCAAATTTTGAATTGAGACAATTTAATTAATGAAAATATTGATATTTTATGATTATACTTATATATATTTACATATTATTTTAGATAATGATTTATTCAAGTGAAAGTTATGATTATATATTCATAAAAAACATTTATTTCTTTTAATTATCTGAAGCTTTCATAAAAAATATCTGATTTATTTCAAGTATGTTGAAACTCATTACTTTAACATTTATACAATTCATGAAAATATTTTTCGTTTAGATAAATGTTAATGATCACTGACTATAAATATTATATGAAGAATGTAAGTTACCTTTCGAATGGTGGTGCATTTCAATCTTAAGCATAATGTAAAAAAATAATTATTTTTATTTTAAGATATATTATATGTTAAAAAGCTAACAACAAATTTTTTACATTATTGCTTAATTATATATTTCTCAAATATCATGATGAATTATTTGAAATTCCTCCTGTGAAACAATACATAAAATAAAAATGTCTTCTATATTAACAATAGTTCAATGATTGTAATGAATGAAAAAGTTTAATAAAAAGTATATCATCTTAACAAATATTTTAAAAATTGTTTCCAACTAATATTTATATTATTCAAAAAAATTAGATTATATTAGCAATTATAAAATGAATAGAATAAGAAGTGTTAAAAAAGATGTAAAAAAAGTTAGAATAGAAAAATGACGTCATTTTATTCACATTTAATTATCATTTCTTCGCAAATTAGAATGATAGTTTTCGTGATAGTTACTGATGCAACACGATATCGTAATTCTTAGATGTAATATCGATTGTTTATAACAATACTACTACTATAAGAGAGTGAAATTTGGTCGAAAGCATCTTTTTCAACAGGAATATTTCCTATTGCGTATTTCTCCTCTGTCCTGCTTACTTTGAAAACAGCATCGAAGCTCCATCTTTAGTCGTCATGTGACACTAGCAATAGCCATTATTTAAATGCCAACTAATCCTCGTTTTAAATTCTAATATTGAAGATGATTCATTGGAAATTTTACTATTGTCTCATATTTTCCTAATCGATCATATTATTTTCTTGATTGTAATTAAAATTTTATATTATTTTATTACTTTCTTTAATATTGGTATTTTTATTATTAGTGAATGAACATAACCTATTTTATGAAATAGTAATAATGTATTTATTTACATTAATTAGTAATCTATATTATTGATAAATTTATTTTCTATATTTTTTTTATATTTAAAGAAATTAAAAATTATATATATATATAATTTATATATATTTATATATATTTAAAGAGATTAAAAATTAATTTAACCGATTCTAGAAATTGTTGAAAATAAGAGAAGTATAAGAAAAAAAATATTATTTGAATGGTAAATACTGATCTTAGGTACGTATTTTATAAAATATGCACGTTTTAGTTATATTTGAGTTTTTTTTTTGCTATAAAAAGAAAAGTTCTGTAAAAACGCTTAAGTCAAGCCATTAACTTTTATTGGTTTTTCATAATCGTTTATTTGCTCAAAGAAATCTCATTCTTCTTTATGAAGTAAATATCAAGAGATATTTACTTACTTATTTATCTATAAATTTTTCATGCTTTTATTGCTTAATATATATAATAAATAACAAAAAGATTCACATTTAATCTAATTTTCATAATTGACCTAATAAAGACCTAATCAATATTACATATATTCGATAAAATCATTCCCAGTTTACAATTGATACTTCATAACTTTTCCTTCATCCGTTTATGAAAAATTTCGATAATACAAAATTAAGAATAAGATTAATTCATAAAGTAATTAGATTTCTAGATATACAATTTACAAACGTTTACAAAATGTAAACTTAATTATGAGAAAATTGTTCGAAATCTTCCGAAAGAGAGTTTCGAACAACTATCACCACTTACGTTAGGGTGGTTCGCGTTTGAGTTTGCGTTCCAAGCTTCGAAGCAGGGAGGGATCCTTGACATAAATAATCAGTAGTAGAGCACCGCGGTACTGCCCCTGTAGCCATGGTAACAGCATCGATCGAGGCCTACTACAAAGTCGAAACCAGCTACCCTCCTCGGTGTTACGCGTTTCTTTCCATTTCCCTTCGTTTCCTGTCTTTTTCTCTTCGCCCATAGTTTCTTCTCTTTGCTTTCTTTCCGTGCACTGTTCCATCCTCGAACTTCCGCCTTCCTCCTGCTCGGTTTCATTCCACTTTATCGTTGTTCATCCACTCCTCCCTAGATTTTTTTCTCTCTCCCTGGCTGCATTTTCTCCAATTTCCCTGTGCTCCACTTTTTCAGACTTCTTCGATTTAACTTTCTTTACTGCCATCTTATTCCACGAATATCCTTCTGTTCCTTATTTTTTTCTTTTTTTTAAATAGAAACTATTTCTTCTATACAAAAGAGGAAAGATCATCGATTATTAAACATTTTTCAACAATGGAAACTTGAAAAGTACAACATATATTAATAGCAAATCATATTCTGTCCGAACTCGATACTCGGTTCTCGCGATCTAGGATTAAGAAATAAGTAGTATTCAACGAGAAAAATTATCATCGAAAAAAATAAAATGCTCTGTTTTTGCTTTCGCGCAATAGAAATTGTACGATTTCGCAAATTTGTGAAAAGTATCTTGTGTGCATACCGTTGAATGTATTTCGCACTATTATTATTTAATTATTTTTTCTTTTAAATTCGCACTATCTTTATATGATTATTCCATTTTTTTTTTGCACCTCCTGCTTATGCAAGATAATCGAGCTCATTCGATTAACACAAAATATTAGAAATATTAAAACTATATGAGATTTTTACAAACGAATTCTATTTACAATGTTTAATTCTTATTTAATGAATTAAAATAAAATAAAATTAAATACGAATAATAATGTTTTTTAAAAATTAAAATTAATTAAAGAATTTATTTTGAGTCATTTTGTTATTTTTATAAATATATATATCCTTTTTTATTTTTATTTTTATAAATATAATACAATATAATTTTTTCAAATAATTTTATTTTAATCATTTTTATGCTATAATATCGTTTAACAATATAAATAATATATAATTTTGGGTAAGAAATAATTTCTGAAGTATATAAGGATAAATCATAAATGACTTATGATTAGTTGCTGACAATCAGGTTAACCGTCTGAAGGTAAGTTAAAGATCTGTGGATTGCAAAACAACTATATAGGTATAAATTTAACGATACTTTTTCAAAGTATAGAATAAAAAATGGAATTTATGTGATTTATGCAATCAATCTGATGATGATCATTATATTTCTATTAAACATCTTTAAAATTTTTAAGCCAAGCATGATAATGTCCGTTAAACTCGTTCAACGAGCTTCGTTTTCTCAGAGTTACATGAAACTGCTTTTAGACATAACGAGGCGCACCGGTGCACTCGTGACCCTGATTGACGAAACCGTTCCCAGAAAGCCAGCAAGCCAACGATGCCGTCGCTTTTATCTATTTTTATCTATCACGGTACTTCTTGGAATTTCGCATTCGATACATTACAGGAAGAAAACATACTTAGAATCGCGATTGCAATCTATCTTTTGTTAGAATTTGCTTGTAGAAATCAGAAAAAAAATCAGGAAAGATATCATTTATAGAAGATTTCGAAGCAATACTTTTGCTATTATCGATGATATGTGCATCGAATTAATATATAGTTTTCTCAATAAATTAACCGGCTATTATTATTAATCCCTAATATAACTCCACCACATAAAATTCTAGAATAATAAATTACTTCAAATACGTTAATAATTTATGATTATTATTTTCAGAAAATTCTTTTTATATTTTATATTTATTATATATATTAATCAAAGATTATAAAATTAATCTATTTTTTAATCTGAATGTTTGACTTTCTATCTCTAATTTAAATGTTTTTCATATCAAAATGAAAACCAATATAGAATTACTATTTACCAGATCAATAGCTATCAAAAACGATATATAATATAAGTTAAAAATCAATTCACGTTCCCATGAAAGTGTTTAACGATGCCCAAAGAAAGATAAAGCGAATGTAACTTCGAGTCGATCGGTAAAACACGAAAATTCTAATAGAACGAACAATAGTAACGGTATATTTGTAGCGCGAACAACAGTGCTGCCGATATGTGAGAAAAAATCGGAAAAAACGATTCGACACGATCCGCGAGTCGACGTTCGTGCACGGAACTTGCGACGAAGCCGCTCGCAGCGTGTTTCAAGGCTGAACCGCCTCTTCTCTACACTCTTTTCGACCCCTCCAAAGACGAATCATCTCCTTTCCCCTAACTTCACGTTCGATTATCGTTCTCTTTCTCTTTCTTTCAATCTATCGGTAGGTTGCGTATCGTTTGTCTCACTTCGTTCGTTTCTTCCGTTCGTTCTTTCTCGTTCATATTCGTCTGTATTCGTTGGTCGCGCCACGGCAGTGCTATCCTATCGCATGACTCTGCAGCGTTACGCAACTAACAGAAGGCTAGGTAGGCGACGCAGGTCGCGGGGGTA